TGTCTTCCAGATGATATGAAACTATAGGTCATCATAGAATGTGATTCAAGTCCATACTGACTTGAACATTCTTATGGATAAACTCTACTTAATTACTTTATTCTTTTTTAAAATATATTTTTATTGATTTTTTACAGAGAGGGAGAGGCATCGAGAGTTAGAAACATTGATCAGCTGCCTCCTTCACACCCTCTACTGGGGATGTGCCCACAACCAAGGTACAAAGCCTTGACCAGAATTAAACCTGGGACCCTTCAATCCACAGGTGGACACTATCCACTGAGCCAAACCAGTTAGGGCTACTTTATTCTTAAAAGATGTTGCTGGAAGCCTAATTATATTCTGACCATTTCTATAAGAGTTGAAAAAAGTCCAAGATAAAATTAAGTTTCTTGGTAATTATATCACACTAAGAACTTGTTGATCTTGGTGCCAACAAAAATCCACCAAATGTTTCCTTATTTTGTGACTTAAATTTATAGAGGAGTTTGTTACTCAATGTTCAGCATCCCACAAGTATTCCCTGGTCAGTTCAAATTGTCATGATCTCTTATGATGGATCAATTTGCTAAAATACCTTCTATATTTATTTCAGGCAATTGAGTAATTCAGGTTTTATCAAGTCCTAACCTTCTTAACTTTTCATCCTAACCTCTTTTGTGCCAACAATTAAGAGTTATCATTGTTGTTTATGTTCTTTATGCCCAGTATAGCATAGAGGAGAACATAGGAGATGAAGAAAAGTATACGACTAAATCCTTGCCTTCAGATAATTATATTGTAATTTGGTTGAGGAGGAAGTTCTTCCAAAAATAAGAAATTTGATAGCAATGCACAATAGTGAACCTCATTAAAAATAAGGTAATGAGATTGACTTACAGACCAGGAAAACTAAGTCCATTACTGTATTGATGACTCTCAGACAAGCAAATGTTTTGTTTCATGGCACAAGCCATAATTATTACAGTAATGTGGAGTAGAAGTCTAAGTGGTCTGAAAGAGTAGACATAGGAAGTAGCAAGTCTTTAGCTAGGAATGAAAGAGAAAACACTGTTGCTCTGATCTTTCAATCTAGTATAATATAAACAAAAGGCCCTAATTGCCATCTTTCTCATCAGATGCTGGAAGGATGAAATGCATGCCCATAATATAAGATGCATTCATCATAGCATAAATGTGCTCCATGACAACACAAGTTTCTCTAAGGTAGCTTCTAGCTTTCTCCTCCTTGGTGAGACTGCTAGATTCCATGTTCTTCCCTACTCAAACTTACACACACACACACACACACACACACACACACACACACAAAATAATAAATAAATAAATAAATAAATAAATAAATAAATATTTGATTACTAGAAACCACAACTATGAGAATGAATGTCATATACAATTAAGTTAATCCAGTAACATTAGTTTAACAAAAAAATAAGCACACATTTTAAGCCTTGATTTACCTTTTTACTCTGAGAAGTGGCACAGAATAAGTCCATAGGACCTTTCAAATCCTCCCAAAAGGTTTTCAGTTTCTTTTCCCTCCAATTGATCAAGGTTACAAAGAAACAGAGTTGGTTATTGGTTTTGCTAAAACAGGGATCTTTTCAAAAAGAAGTTGCACTCAGAGACTGGCATGATCAGAGACTGCCCCCTGCCTTCCTACACAGCACATAGAGTTCAACTGCTTTATTTTTTATTAAGAACAGTCCTACTAACTTTGAAAATATTTTGTGTATAATAAACCATCTATATCTAAGATTCCTCCCCCCCTCCAATGCAATGTCTTCAGAACTGTAAGAGAGAAATTTGCTTTATAAAATACAATAAAAGTTATCTTTTGGTATGTCATGTCTCAATGAGGAACATTATAGATATGATCCCGAGTTTTTCTGGTTAAGCAAAAATATGAAATGATGAAAATATCACTTGATTTTACAAACAGAAAACAACCTCTGGTTATCAGGGTCTGCTTTAAAACTAAAAAGAAAAAAAGAGGGGGCATGGAATGATTATCAAAATTCCTTGCATTTATGTCCTGTGGTAAACAAGGGGAGAAAAAAACTAAAAACTGCCGGTGGAATTTCGGTGTGGCTTCTTTTGCTCTGCAAAAAAAATAAAATAAAAATCTACTTTGGAGTATTTTTCTAGAATCCCGTAACTCATTTTTAAATGTCTATAATCTTTTAGTGTTTTTTTTTTTAAATAGAGCTCTCTGAGAACTAAATTTTCCCACTGGACTCCTATTATTTATAAGGAATTCCCCAAAGTCTTAAATGATGAGGAACTTTTCCTGCTTAGCAATATTTTTTAAACTTCCTTCTGGAGTTTTTAAATCTGTAGTTTTGGAAAGGTACTGTTTGAGGTAGGGGAAAGCCCCCTGGTATGAAAGTGGCAAAGGGATATGCCTACATTTTCAGAAAACTCCGGGAGTTTTTAGAAATGGAGTTCCCCGGGGCGCTGGGGATTTGCACCAAACCCAAAGATTTATCAGTAAATGACTCCTCTTCCCAGGTGCAACCTCCATAGACCCGAGAAAGGGCAGGAAAAGCCTTGAAAACCTTGGGCTGATTCCTTGGGACACATTAAACAGAGAGTGACAGAAAAACCTCTCTGGCGACTACAGAGCGAGCCAGCATGTACTTATTTTGAGTTTGCTACATGATCTAAAAAGTGTGCCCTAAATCTCTACCTACAGATATACCTCAGGCTAGTGTTGCCAAAACTTCCAAGCCGGTCGAGTCCCCCAGTGCTGGGAAAGCGGAGCCCATGCTCCTGGCCGAACCTGGTGCCCCAACCCTGCCGAGTCCTGGGCTCTGGCTCAGCGGGCTGGATTCCCGGCCGCTGGGCGAGTGCTGCTCGAAGGCGCACTTGCCTGCCTGTGTCTCCGGGAATTCGGAACCCGGGGCGCGCTGCAGTCTTCTCTCTGCAGCTCAGAGAACCTTCCCATTCCCAGAGCCGGCTTCACCCCGGTTCCTTTGGGCATTTTTGCCTTTCTTTGGGAAAAGGGGAGGACAGCCTAAAAAGCGAAATATGTAACAGTAATAATTATCATTATAATGACTACTAACACTTTTATTACCCTATCCTCATTGTGGTTATTATGGTCAGTAGCTCTAAGCAGGATCCCCAGGAGCCTGTGAGAGCGTAAAGGTCCTTAGCTTCTGAGGATGCTGCCTCAGGCTCTAGGCTCCGCAGAGTCCATTTTGCCTTCGCGAACACATCCCAGGGATTTATATTTACTTTTTAAAAAGCAAAGCGGATGTCTCAGCCTCCAACAAAAGAGATACAAGTCCCGCAAGTAAAACCAGGAAGCAGGATCCCGCGCTTACGGAGAAAGGACATTGAGGATTTCTTTTCTTTTTTTTTCTTTTTTAAGTAGAGTGCTTAATTATTTAAAAATACGTACGTTTTCTTTTCAATATTTATAAAGAACTGTTCGCTAACCGAGCATTTCTAAAGATGTTCGCCGGGTGCAGTTCGTGGACTTGGCAGGGCTGTCGCCGCCACCTGTGCAGCATCGCACAGTAGCATTCAACAGATGCTTTGAGAAAACTGCGATGGGCTTTTGCTCCGGGAAACAGAACTCTGGTTTGGACAGTTAGGTTCGCTACCGAATTAAATTTCAAAACCGGCTAAGTGTCTGAGTTCAGTGGGGATGGAGGGAATCGAGGATTGGAAATAGACCGAAAAGTTCCTTTCACACATCGAGAAATCGAGAAATCTAGGCACAGAGAAAAGTGACACAGAAGAAGGAAGGACTGGATCCTTATTATTGCTCCTACTTCCTTCCCCACCATTCACTTTTGGAGCTATTGAGACAACCCGGGCCCCAGCCATACGCTCCCTTCCCCTCAGCTCTCTGTGGGGTTCTCTGCACGGTTCCCCGTAGCATCTTCCAGATAATTGTAGCTCTGTATTCCTGTGCCAAGTAGTTGAACCAAGTCTCCATCTCCATCTTCCACCCAGCTACCTCCGCTTGACAGGGAGCCAGTCCCATTCTCCTACCCGGAGCTCTAGCTACAGTGCTGCGGAGCCCACTCCCATTACATCTTAGGAGAAAACTGCTCAGGCACATTCTTGGTGAGAGCAGGGACCAAAAACAAAGTGTTAAGCTTGGTTTTGGTGTCTTGGCCAAGGTGGTCCTGACTGCCCTTGTCTGCGCGGGCAACCAGGACACAGCAGGCAACTGCCAGGCGCAGGGGAGTCCCTGGGAAGAGGTCCGCTTGCTGGTTGCAGCTTGGCATCCTGTACATTAGTTGCCAAAAGGGAACTTTTATGGTTTGCCCCCTATCCCTCTGCCTTAACCAGACACTGCAGTCCTCGCAGCGGCAGGTTAACCAACTGGCTGTGGGCCCCGGGCTCTGTGTTAGAGAAATATGGGCAGCCCAGCCTCAGAAAGCCTCAGGAGCGGCCTTTGGGTGTCATTCTAAGTACTCTGTGGGGGTCCAGTAGGGTCAAGAAGGGAGCTAAATTGTGCCCCCTTGAGCCACTAAGTCCAAAGGCTTTCTTATGTACTCCTGCATTTGGTGCTGGGGGCAAGGGTGGGATCACCCTTTGCACACTAAAAGCATTTGACCCTGTGGGTGCCTCAGTTCCTCTTTTTGGGAAAAAAAGGGACAGGAGACCCTCGGAGGGAGTTTTCAACCTCGGTGAAACTTCTAAAATTTGAGAAGTGTTTGTTGAACTTAGATGTTCAGAGGACTCTGTGTGTTGGGGAGAGGTATTCTTTGAATCTTTAAGAGTGCATTCCTGAGACAGCCCCCCACCATGACTGACCCCAGTTTCCCCCAGTCTCCAGGCCTCAGGAATCACGTCAATCACTGCAGCCACCGCCACCACCTTGGGGTCTCGCGCCCCCTGCCAGCAGACTGGAATTGCACTGAAAGCGGGGTCAACACAGGCCTCGGATGGGGTAATTCTGAACGCTGATTGGCCGCTCTTGGCTCCGCCCCTCATCTCTCTTTTGGCCCAAGAGCCCAGTGCGGTTTCACCAGCGCTGGGTAGGCGCTCTGGTGCTCGCCGAGGAAGCTCCTTCCTCGGGTGCACTAGGCTTGCCTTTGGAGCAGCTAATCGGAGCCTGCTCCATTGGCTCGCTTGCCCTTCACCTGCGATTGCATACGAACTTTCCTTACCTCTTCTTGAGATCGTTGTCCTTGGAGTCGTCGAGATCGACGTGGTGCTCGTGTGGTGGTCTTCGTCCGCTTAGAATAGTGTAGTTAGTTAGGGGCCATCGAAGAAGAAAGAAGAAGCGATTAGCGCGGAGATGCTGGAGGCGATCAGTTACTATGCCAGAGTGAGATAGGAGCAAGAGCCAAACCTTATCGGGGCAGCAAGGTCGCCCTGAGGAGGTTGACTCGCCGGCGCTTCCAGTCGTGCCGTGCCGAGCTCCCTCCGTTCCTTTGCCTAGGCGCCAGATTGCGGCGCGCAGCGCAGCGCAGGGCTGCCTGGGCTCCGCTGGGCGATTGCAGCCGAGTCCGTTTCTCGTCTAGCTGCCGCCGCGGCTACCGCTGCCTTGTCTTCCTCCTGGACGCTTGTGGTAAGTTGCAACCCTGGGCGGCATTGCTAGCCATAACCTTAACGGTTTAGGAGGGGAGAGTGGGGGATGTGGGGGAGATGGGAGACAGGTCCGGGCTGGTTGCAACCTGCAGGACCGCACTGGCCAGGGCTGGAGGTGGTGGTGGGGGTTTGGGGAGTGGGGAGGGGGTGAGTAGGGCGGGACTTTGAGAGCGCGGATGGCGGAGAGAAGGGGGTCTCTGGGAGAAGAGAAGGGTTTAGGTTCCAGGGGAGGGGCATCAGAGTCTCCAAAGAGGTTGGGATTGGGGACTGGAACTGAAGGCGCAGGGAAGAGGCGGGGATCTGGGAATCTGACTCCGGAAAGAGGAGAGAGAAATGGAAGGCGTGCAGGGGGTCTCAAGAAGTAAGCTAGGGGAAAGGAAGATTGAATGTGGATGTCTGAACAAAGGTTCGGGTTGCGGGTGGTGCACCTGCATTGGGGCTACGGGCTACTGTTTTTAAGAAATCTTATCTCGGGCAAGTGAGAGGGGGGCAAGGCTTGGGACAGTGGAAACAGAGGGGGGCAAAGGATCCTCTATTGTCATTCTAATTGAAAAATGACCCTACTTTTCGGAGGGTCTTAGTGAACACTGGTAACTCCCTGGAGATAAACACTGCGGATCTGTGTCTTGGTTTAACAGCTATTGGCTGAATTTGAACAAGGCTGCTGATGGTCACGTAAGTTTAAGAGGAAAGTATAAGGGCACACAGCGGACCTTTTTATTAGCTTACCTAAGTCACTTGGTGACCATTTTATATTTTGAATGGGATTCTTGCTGAGGCTTCTCCAACGCTGTCTTTTTATTTACTGTTCCTTACTCAGCTTAACCCGACAGGCTTAACATCTTACCTCTGAATTGCTAAACATGAGAACAGGTTGCCATTCCTGAAGCCACATAAAGTTCGTCATTGCAAAACGTGTCTATGTGTCTGTTTCTTTACTGCGCCGTGCCCTTTCCTTTGCTTCCTGAGGCAAAAAAATATTTTGTATTGTGTTTGAGACCCCTTAATTTTAAGCGACATCTCTCCTCCACTCAAATTCAGCGGGCGAGATTTGGCACTTAGAGAATATCTAATTTGGTTGAGAATCACTGCTAGCATCGCAGCTTCTTCATTAATATTTAGCATCACAAGTCCCATGCAAGGAAGCCTCTGATTAAGGAGCTGCTAAGTACATATGTCCCTCACCACGTATCTTTCAGACAGGCTACCTGAGGGAACCTCCCTCTAAGGAGACATAGCTTTGAGCTAAAATGATTAGAATTAGGGGGGACGCTGCAGAGTGAGTAACCCCTGAGCTCCCCAGTTTGCAGACATTTGTGACCATGCACGCGCGCGCGGGTGCACACACACACACACACACACACACACACACACACAGTGGTGCAAAAGGACATTTGGATTACAGAATTTAAATTTTTATTAAGAAGTTTACATATCAGCCATTCTGACCATCAAAAATATGAACATATTAGAAGCAAGGCGACTGTAGTTGACTATGTATGCGTAGCCACAATGAAAAAGGCTAACTGACAGGCCACACGGGGGGGGAAAAAAAGACGATTTCTACTATGATTATTGCATTTCTTTTTCAGTATTTAATACTGAATATCACCCTTTCGGAAGAGTAGAATTTATTTACACTATGATACCCTGATTTTTGGGAGTTATCTACCACCTCCACTACGACTTCCCCCCCCCCCCAAGGGTGGGAGAAATAAAATATTTTTTCTATATTTTGGGGAAGTAGGTTATATAATATTTAATTATTTTTTCATTATTTAAAGATGTTCTTCTGATCACCCAGAGGAGGAAATAAACTATTTATTTGTTTTATCCACACGATTTCTTTTCTAATAGCTTTTATCATCTACAGCAACAAGCCCAATGCAAGTCCTGAAATTTGGAAGGTGGGTAAGGTTTGTGATTGCAATGTCAAGGCAGGATTTGGGGTGCTTAAGCCAACCCTGACGGTGTTTTTCTACCTGCATAATTCAGAGAGAGTTTTTAACTCTTCCTATGCTTTATTGAGGGGCCTAAAATTAGAGCTGCCATGGATGATGGTGATGACTTTTTCAGATAATTACATGACAGGCTTTGGTGCAGTATGAATTCATGGGAAGAGAGGTGAGAACTGACATTTTTGCAAACCTCCTGAATGCCAGACTTGGAGCCAAGAGCTTTACATATATACATTATTTCACAAGGTCTTCAAAGCAAGCCTATGAAGAGGAAGATATTGTTGCTATTTTACTGATGCCATTGGATTCTTTTCTTTTTATTTTTCAAGGTATTATTCCAGATTAAGGCAGTGGAATAAGAAATATTTTTTTATGCTTTTAAGTCTACCTGAAATAAACACATTTGTTTTTTTAGGAGTGAAAGTAAAATCTAAAAAACTCAACATTTCTTATATAATGTTAGGTTAATCCACTAAGGGTTTAAGCAACATGGGCATCTCACCCACAGTGGTTTACAGATAGATTTATCCTCTGGAAAATAAATTCTAAAATCCTGTTTGATTTGTAGGATTATAACTACTGTTTGGAATTTAATTATTTAGGAATATTTCTGATTTAGCTGGTAAATACCTAAATAATAATCTGAGGCCTGCATCAAACCTCAATTATTTTACTGTTCCACTTATTTCCTTCAAGTAAGAATTATTTCTCTTCAACTAAGGGGATCACAAAAATTAAAACAAAATGTGAGAGAGAGCATATCAGTAATCAACATAAAGTATTCTCAGGCCTGAGACTGAAGAAGGTGGCTGCTCTCTGATCCTGCTACCAAATAAAGTCACAAATTATAATGACTCCAGAAGCTTCAGACTAATTGGCCAGTATCATTAAAGAACTTCTTACTACATTACCTTTAGAGTCATGGAATACCTCACAAAATGAGAATATACAGCATTTTTATTGAGATTATATTAATAGAGTATCTGGTAAAACTTAGTGTTGTTTAACAGAAGAAATAATAAACTATGCCCCACTAATGGCTTGGATAGCCATGAGAAAACTGCGAAAACTTGACAATAGTTTGGGGTTAATAACATTATACTATTGTACTAAAACAATGCATTAATATGTTATATGTTAATATAATATGTTACCCTCATTTGATTGTTGTAAAGTACACGAACAGCAAGCATTTTAGAAACTTAAAATTAGTGCACAAACCCTTATTTATTATTAGTAGTAAATATTCATTTGTCACTGCTTCAGGATACCTGTGTTATTTTATCTACAACTTGTATACTATTGAATCTCACGGGGGAAAAAGGTCAACCACCAGCTTAATAAGTGTTACATCAATCAATCGCTCCATCACTGCCTTTCTTCAAAACATTTTAAGGCTTCCTCATATATGACATTGTTGCAAGTAATCTCCATTTTAGACAAATAACATTAAAACCAACCAAGAGGTTACGCTGCACTGTTAGTTAGCTGGTCAAACTGGTCACTAGCAAATTTCATACTAGTGCTCACATGCAGCAACTCTTTTGGCAGTCACTTCTGACATTTTAATGCACAAATGATATAGTAAAAACAGGATTTCAAATAAAAGGCACATGAGCTGAAATCTTAATTATGTTTTTGTCTCCCTATACCCAACATATCTATTTCATCTTGTGTATTCCTCCTTTCCTCCTTTCAGCTATGTTTAAGGCTGTGCCATGTAGAGTTTACTAAGATACTTGCTTATTACATTTAAATGTAGTTGACATTTAATAAAGTCAATCTTGTTCATTAGGGTTAACCTTACTTATATATGACTACTTACATGGTCTAATTTCAGAAGCACTAGAAAACTTTTTGGCCCCCAAAGTAGTAGCCTCCATGGTTTTTCCACAGCACTTGAATTTCATTATTCAGGAATTTTCTCTTTTAATCTTATTCATTGTCTTCTTTAAATACAAATATACACTTAGAGGGATAACATTATCATTACCTATTAATAAATAAGTTGAACTTTACTGACAACTATCAGAAAGCCTTTAGAACTATATTGTCCAATACAATAGCCACCTGCCACATGTGGCTATCTAAATTTGAGTTTAAATTAATCAGAGTTGAATAAAATTACAAAGTGCTGTCCTACAGTCTCACAGATCACATTTCAGCTACTGAACAGCTACATGTGGCTAGTGACTACCTATTGGACAGTACAGATCTAGTCCATCTCCATCACTGCAGACAGTTCTGTTAGACAGCAATATATTAGAGAGTAGGGACTCTCAGCTTTTTCACTGAACACTATCTTCATCTCCTTGCTTTTACCACAACTTGGATTTCTCCTACTAGTATTACTCCTACAGAAGCTTTTCTACTCCCTCACAGATCTATCAAGTGGAGAAAAATCAATTCTTTTATCTCTCCCCACTTCATTAATTTTATTGCTCCTCAATATGTAAGACTTAAAGTTATTGTTGAAAATCTTCTAGTTCCTTTTTTAAACTTCTAACACTCTAGAATATGTCTCTTCTACTTTTATTTAAACAATCCTTTATTGAAGCTTCCACCATTTCCACCTCTCTTGTCTCTGTTGCTTATATTTTCATTAAACTTTTTGGCACATGGCTCTTTCTTTTACTGTCCACTTTTAATCTTGCCATTCTCTGGAGACTTCAATATCTATGAAGATTGCCAAATAACAGTCTAGCCTCATCATGTCTTGACCTCTTTTCCATTGTACTCAGCTTGAGGCCCATTAGCACACATAAAATACATCAATTTCTAAAATCTGAAGTTCAGAAACACTCCCCTCAGATTATGACATTTCCCACCCCCACCCCCTTTTACCTCTGCTTCCCTTGGACCTGCAATATACTAGAGAGTAGGGACCTTCAGAAAGATTACCTGGGCTCTTCCAGAAGCTGTTAGTTATAACGTCCTCTTTAAGTTTCACTTTATTTTCTTCCTAGTGTGACCTTTATGTCAGTCATATCAATGCATCTCATTATTACCAAATATACATTCT